AAAACAGAAATTTTAAAGATATGAAAACAAAGTGAGAAAAATATTTTTGTTTTTGTTTTATCTTTAACTCTGAATCTACCCGGGGGTAGATACAGTTCCTTATTGTGTTCTATATACCCAATTACCTTGTATAGTGTACCATAAAATTTCAATATTATTTATGAACGCACATATAACAAAAAAAAATGAGTCTATAATTTAGTCTTTTTAACCTGAATTTACAATCTTTTGTGCAGTTCAATAAATTTGTACGATGCCAAGAACAGCACATACATATATTAGGGTCAGAGTTAAAAAAATTTGCAAAGGGTGCTTTTTTTCGGTTTGGTTTTTCGAGTTTTGTTTTTTCTTGGCCCCCCACAGTTGATTCGTTGCAGTTGCCAACTGATTCCATAATATTCAGTAGTTGATTGATTAATTCCATAGTATTGAGTAAACAATTATTTAATTTCACGTTTCAGATCTGTCGATTTAACACGTCCCCTGTCCGCTGAGCCACATATGGTTCAGGAAACGTGCGATTAATAAGCACTGATACGTTCCTGAGCCATATGTGCGTCAGGGGGTATATGAAACTTCTAAAGCAAATTATTCGACTGAACGTAACGGAACTGTACAGTTTCTACACTGGACGTGCTGGTACGATAATAAAGTAAAAAAAAAACGCCGGAACATACAAAAAAATATTTTTATTTTGCGCAGAAATCACAATTTATTATATATGGACCATATGTGTTTCAGGTAGAAATACCCTACATCCGTTTTTTTTTTTTTAAATTATTATTATTACTAAAGCCATCCTATGACTACAAAAAAAAACAAATTATTCAAAAAACCCTGTCGGCCAATTTTGCTTTTTTGTATTGGGACAGAGAACGTGTTATCTTCGAAATCCTGGAATATGATATTTATTGAATATTTTTTTTCTAGAGTATATGAAATATCTGGATTTTATTGAGTATCTAACTTCGATTGCAGCTTTGAATAAACATGTTGGACAATTAATTAATATTCCCAGACAAATTTTACCAAAGAAAATAAACGAGTGAATGATTTAAAATCTTTTAAGTGTGTCAATAAATATTAATTTCTATTTTAATAAAAATTGCGAATATGAAAATGTATAAATTTTTCTTAAATTTAAAAATTTAATTTTTAAAAAATCACCCATTATATATTTAAATCTCAGTACGGTTTTCTATATACCTCTATTTATTACACTCGTAATATATAATTTACTGTTATTATAAAAAAAATTTTAAAACTTTAAGGTAATAAATAGACACACTGCAAATCAAAAATTTATTCTGTTTTCAAATAATTTTATGGTACGTACCTAAAATTTGACATTCATTTACTACATAAATCTTTTATGATTCCATATTTTATGATTTTTACACTGAATTTTGTTATATTGGAATTTAATAAATATATAAAACATGCAATTGTTTGTGCAAAATTAAAGGTAGCTTACAGTGTTCCACAACATTCACAAAATTCAATTCGATTAAAAAAAACCAGCAAAAATAAATAATTTTTTCAATATGCTTAGCAGTTTAAGTGTTAAATTCTTCCCTTACATAAATTTAAAAAAATTACAAATTTGCTTTTTTTTTTCAAATTTTCAATAAAATCTTAATTTGTCATTTGTAAATATTTAAAGAAATTGAAATTTTATAAAATGCTTTTATGCAGTTTAACATAATCAAAATCAATTGAAATTCTGCACAAACCAATTCTACATCAAACATTTGTAAATTTACCTGAAAATCAAAATATTTACAAAAATTCGGTAATATTACTCAATCACAACATCAAAAATTATGATAATCCTAAGATAAATACTGGTTAATAAAGATGAAATTGATTTAGATGCAAAATAAAATAAATAAAAAATTAGAGAAAATAGTTTTCTATATTTTTTATTTAAATTTTGTTTTTTTATACTTCGTGCATATACATACTCGTACATATATACATATCTATATGAAAACATAAGGTCAAAACCAAGGTCACTTTTAGCATTTGAAAATTAAATATTTATCTCTTTTATATCTATAGTGAAAAAGTTTTCCCTGCCCTTGAAATTTAATAAAAAAAATCAAATATATGAAAAAAAATTTTTTGCAATCATTTGAAAATTGAGAAAATGATAATGTGTGACAATTTTAAAGTAAAATTTTGGGCTATATTAAAAAAAAAAACAAAATGCTACTGGTACTAAATTTAAATTTTATTAAAAAAATACAAGAAGAACAACAATTTATTTATAAAAGCAAAAATTAGGTACTTTTGGAAATGCAGTTTAAATTTGCATTTCTAATTTAGAACTTAGCATTAGTAGCAATAGTAGCATTTTTAGTAGCAATGAAAAACGACTGCGAAAACCGCAAAGTTTCTACTTGTAGTAACGAAAGTTTTTGCGGTTGTTAAATTACTGCCACAGTCTGATTTTTTTATTCAATTCAAAAAATGAAAACCAAAACCAATGCATAACTTAGTCTAACAATTCTTCTAAATCTTCCAGCATTTTGTTTTTTACATGCAGTGTTGATTTAGTACTAAAATTAATACCACAATTTAGCATTAAATTTGTAGTTTGAATACTGTCATAACATTGCTGCATTTTCAAAAATACTTGTTTGACAGTTCTCGTATAATTATCAAATTATTGCATCTATTTCGACAAGGAATTTGCGGCAGACATCTCATGTTAAAAATTTATACTTTTACGATCATTGTCTTGCAGATTACTCAGAAAAAAAAACACTTAAAATATTTTTCTAAATTTTAAAAATTTTCAAAATTTTAAATGGTTTTTTTTTTTAAATACCAAATGTATTAAAAAACGTGCTCCGATTCAAAAATAGAATCAATTTCTATATATTAGCACAATTGTTTATATGTAAGTTTGCATCTTAAAACAAAAGCGAAATAAATATTGAAGAAAACTAAACTGTTTTTAACTTACGATATTTTGGAAGCGGATCACATCCTCCCCGTACATACATATGTACATGTGCGCTTGTATATTTTTATTAAATTAATAAATAAGCTTTTTCTGAATTTTACGTAAGTAGGGTTAAGATGAAAATTTACGCAGATTCCATAAGTGTTAATTGTAGTAAAGAATTAATTAGTGAAAATTAATTAGTAAAAACGAACAAAAATATTTTAATATTAATAATTATTAATAGTTAATTGAAACGTAGAAAATGCTTGGATCGCAAATATTCATAACAAAATTAATTGTTTGTAGTTGAACTCTTAGATTTTAAGGTATAGGCGTAATTGAAGATGACATTGATTGTGTATGTCAATTACTCGCAAAAAATATATGATTTACATGAAAATATTTGAAGTATTGAATAAAATCGCAGATTTCCTTGTATAGAGACTCCACTGTACGTATATTGCTTCGTCAGTTATTTTAGTTTTTAAAGATCAACTCTAATTACAAAGTATTATTTTGTCTTTCATTTCTTCCCCGTTCTTTCTTCTTGTACTTTTGTGTAACAAATTACTCAAGCAATAAAACAGAATTGCCTTTTTGGTTTTTTTTTTTTATTCACATTTCGATAATGTTAAATATAAATATTTTGAATCATTCACAATGTATGTATGTAAACTTTGTGTGCATACTAATTTGATTAGATGGTTTTGTATATTTATTAATATTTGCGTGACATAAACCATTTTTTTTTTCATTATAATTTTTTTTTTTTCGATATTATTGTTATGAATCAAAACTGTTATTCATATTTAATCAAAATTCGAAAAATTTCAAAAATTAATGTTAAAATCATTAAATATTTTGTATTACTTGTGTTTTTACTATTATTTTTTATTGATGAATAACATAAAAATGTCAAACAAAAATTTACGTACATATATGTACTATGTTAAAATGTTTAAATTCGAATCTATCGAAATTTTGGAAAAGTAAGTGTTAGAATCGTTAACAAGACATTAAGAATGTTAAATATTTATGAATTTTGGGTTTGATTTATTTAGCTGAACAAAATTATTTTTATAGCCTCATATTTTATGTCAAGCTATATATATATTGGACTACAGTGAGAATAATATGTCAATGTTTCATTATAACTAGGAAACTCACCCAATCAAGAATTTTATAATGTAATTTAATGTGTATGGCAGTTTGATGGTAATAAAAGAACGTGTTACAAAACAAAGCAGTAAATAAAGACGCCTAAAAATTTTTCTAAAAGAATTCATTCTCGATTTAAAAATTGTTGAATTATAATTGGTAAATGTATAACAAGTTTGTGTTTCAAGCATGAAAACTAATTTATAAACTTAAATATTGGGGATTTGATACTTTTTTTTTATATTGAAATGTCAAGCCATCTACCGGAAAAAAATGTTCGTAACTACTCCTCCTATAACTTTTATCGTCTACAATTTTACATGGGCTGCTGTACTTTGAGTGCGCTTTGGAATAGAATTACGTTATGTATTTGTGAATCGTAAAAGCAACGCTTACAGCGCTCGCAATACACGAGTATTTTAAATCAAATGTCAGAGTTCTATTTCATTTTTGTTTTTTTTTTTTAAACTTATACTTAATATTATTTACATAGAATGAATTTTATAATAAAATATTTAAAAATAATATAATATTTACGTAAAATAAAAACGGGCGTTTTTATTAAAATTTCCGTTTTTATGACAGCTCCCATAATATTTTTATTTATAAATATATAAATATAAGTATGAAGTATAAATGTATGTATTCAAATATAAAAAGCATGTGTATCTGTCACCAAAATGCAAAATCATATAATACTTATGTATTACGTAATTGATTTGAAACACACAACATTTTAATTATCTCGAATCTTTTTTTTTTAATATCTTTAAATATTTTTATTCTCTTTATGAATTTATTTATATCTTAACAAAAATATATGTATATCTATATTTAATATATAAATAAGTATATATATATTAAAATTAAAATTTATTGCATTTTCCAGGGAGGTAACAACGCCGGTCACACTGTAGTAGCAAATGGAACAGAATTTGATTTTCATTTATTACCTAGTGGAATTATAAATGAAAAATGTATTTCAGTAATAGGTAAGAAAGAAATAATTACATAAGTATTTTTGCTGAATTTATTAAATTAATTTTAAATTTAATTAATAAAGATTTGAAGAGGTAAGAGAAAAAAAGTCATCTCCAACAGTGGTATGAGTTTTAGACTCAATTTCTTCTCTAATTCATCTAATTTCATTTATAGAACAAAGCTTACATATCGATTTTTTTTAATTTATTCTATAATCGCGGTGCTTGTTACATAATTGATTTAAACCACACAACATTTTAATTTTCTCGAATTTTTCTTTCTGACTCATAAGTGTTTTTATATCGCGTATAATCTTCCAGCCATTTAATTTTTAAGGGCAACCATATTTTGGCACTTCTTTTAATTTAATTTAATTAGAGTAATTTTCTTATTAGTGAATTTTTTTTGAATTCAGGAATTGAATAATTTAAATTTATGAGAATACAATAAATGGGCTCTACTGTATCAAATATTTTTAAATAACCAAAAATAAAGGGAATTTCCCTTTAAAAATTTTGTATAATATGCACAAATTATCATTTGAAATTCTAAAAATTAAAATTTTTGATTATTATTTTAATTAATATCCAAATTGTTTATTTGAAAACTTTAAATCTTCAGTTTTGCTTACGTTTTTTAAATTTAAGCAAATATTTTGCAAATTCATATCACGAAAAACTATTATTTCAGCAATATTAAAGAATAACATTCCAATAATTATGAAGCATTTTTTAATTCATATATGTAAGTGCTTGGTAATGATTTAAGTTATTTTTACGGATAAAATAATATACTTCCAAGATTTGCTTACAACAGCAGAGCACGAAAATCATAAATTGCAGTAAACAACAGCTTACAAACAAATGCACGGAAATCATAAATTTTGAACAGATATGCATGTACATTATGTATACTTATATGATACATACGTACGTATCAAAATACATGAATAGAAAGTGACTAATACATAGAAAACGTCTTTGAACTTCGTATACAAATAAAACAATATTAAATTTTTAAAAGTTACATACAAATAAAAATCTAATTTGTACCAGAGCAATGTTAGAAAAAACCAGATGTATTGAAACAAGTGTCCACAAAATTTTCATGTCTTGATAACAATTCGAAACAATTTATGTTGCCATATAAGTAATAAGCATTAAATTTCTTGATTAACAAATTTTCATTACATTTACGAACACAATATTTGTATATATTTCTAAATATACAGATATTAATATACAATTTCTTACACGTATATGTATATACATATTAAAAAATAACCCATTAATAACTGTTAACCTCACTGATAAAAAAAAATAATGCTCAACAATTGATTAACATTTACTATCAATTACGTTTGCAGCACGTGAGAAATCGATTACGAATTAAATTGATCAAAACTGTTATAATTGTAACATATGTATAATTGTATGTATTAATACTGCTTTATGCAAATATGTTATTGTTATACAAGAACAGCTGACTGTTGCATATGGTTCATTAGCATTTTGAAATTAGTTATAATATTGTAATTATGATTTATGAACCATACTTTCATATTTTATTTTCATACTTTATAAAAATATTTTTAGCAGTTTCAGAATAATGTGTTATACAATGCTAACAATATTATTAATTGGTACAGGCACATGTTGAAAGACTGCTCATATAACGGTTGTTTCTATATAACGGTAAATTTCGCGTTTCAAAAATAAGTTATAAGTTATAAAGGAAGAAATATAGACCATAATATTTAAAAAAATAATATGAAAACGTCCCAAGACTAACAGGACGTCGTATGGAATAGAGTTGAAACGCAGAAAATGAAATTTTGAGATTACATATAGGGTATCCTATAGTAAAATTACAGAATTTTTTGTACTTACTCGTCATTATTAACCCTGGTTTTTAAAATATTTTTACTGCAAAAGAAGTATTTTTGTTAAAAGGTTAATCATTTTTGAATAAATCAATTAGTGTTGTTAAAAATAAATCAACATTTCGGAATCTTATTAATTAATAGGTACTTTTACAAAGTACTCAGAATAATAGCATTGCCAAGCAAATATTGACACAAAGAATGAATTCTTAAGAATGCAATTGCTTAATAGAATTTTATAATCCATTAAAAACAGTAAAATTTTACGTAAAATTAATTGTAAGCTGTCATCAAAATTTTATTGAAAAAATGTAAAATAATTGATTACTTATAATATAGTTTCCACCTTTCGAAACTAGTGCCGCATTTTCATTTTATCACAACAAACAAAAAATTATATATATTAACATTGTCAATAACTTTTTAAGCATATGCATATTTAATATTTTCCCTGATTTATAAGTATTTTTACATTAGCATCAATAAAAAACAGCTGCTCCTGTTAGAGTTCTGTAAAGCTTTTGGGGATTCCCATTAGCTTGTCAATCAATCGAAAGGTTAAGTGCCCTTTTTTAATTTAAATTCATTTATTTATGTTTTAAAAATGAAAAATGAAAGAGATAAAAACAAAATCAATTTCAACTAAACATATGGAACACAACTTTTGTAAAATCAGGAAAAATATGAGCACATCTTTTTACAAATTCCTCTCCGCAAACGTACTAAAAAAATTAAAGTTTCTAACATCTCAAAATTTAGGAATAAAATCCAATTTCTTTTTTATTCAACCTGAGTTTGATCTTAATTTTTCCATTATTTTTAAGACTAAAATTGCTGGTCGGAATTAGGAAGATCTTTTAAAAAGAAAAAGCGTTCCCGTATTTTAAAAACTTCTACACATAAATCAATAAAAAAGGTTAAATAAATTAATTTGTTTAGCGAGTCACTTCAGTTAAATGCAAATGTCATTGTTTTCAAATTACGTCATTGAATTTTATTTAATTTTTATTTTTGCAATTATACTTACTCATGTTTTATTCAGATTAATTGCAAGAACACACCAATAAATTAAAATAAAATTGTATTTTTTTAGTTGACAAACATTGTTGTAACACTTGGTATATAAAATAATGTTTCTTAAATGTTTTGTAAATTGATTGACGAAATTTCTTCAATTTTATTTTTAGAAAAAAATTGGCAAAATAATTTTTTTTTAATTTTGTTTTATTTTATTTTATATGTTTAATTTTAAGCCATTAACAAAATTCTACTAAGAATTGAAACTAATAAATTAACTAAAATTCTATTTGTATGTAAGTATATAAATAAATGCAAGTGAAAGTTCATAGACAAAGGTAGTTTACAATTTTAAATATAAACATTATTTTCAATAACTTGTAATTGATTACTTTGTCGTAAAAATTTTTATCAGAAATTTTATATAAAAATAAGTTTTTCCTTAATTTAAAATTGAATTTTTTTTTTCATATTATAATCGTAACATAAAATTGTTTAGATATAAAGTTTACATTGTAAATTATGCTTACTAGAATTCTTTAACTTAAATTAAATTTTGCGCTTATTTGAAATTCGAATCAAATCACATGATTTACAATCAATCACATGATAAAATATTTTCCGTATGTTTGGGATAAATTTAGTAATTGAATTAAAGTTAAGACGCTTACTCTAATTTACTACATTAAGGTATTTTATTAGAGCAAAATTTTGTACTGCTACAACAATTTATAACATATTATTATTTTCATATGAAAATTTAATAAATTTGTTGTTTATTGTGTTTGTTAAGTTTGTCAAGTATGTATGTACATTAATTTCATTAGGGATATGTGATAAAGAGGGATTAATAATTTGCAAAATCATACTTGACAATACAACATTTTGACATAACTGACACCTATTTAACAATTCATATTTAAGTGTAAATGTCACATAATTATTATTTAACATTTAAAAAATAAAAATTATATAAAAATATCAAAATACCCTTTTCAGATTTTCTTTACGAACATTTAGAATGAATTTTTTTAAGTTCTTTACTGAAATAAAATTAAAAATCTAAATAATGATCTTGATATTGTTTTTTTATTTGACATTGATTTCATCATGTAGTGTTTGTATGTCAATGTTAGCGTTAAATTCTTATATCACTTTCTACAAATACAAAACATAATTTAGAAGCAAAACATAATTTTTTGTTTGTTGAACGCCATCCAGATATTTGTTTTTTTTTTTCGCTATTTTTCCTTTTTTTTTTCCTTTAACTTAAAGCTGAAAAATGCGAAAAACGATTTATTTTTTTTGTTCTTTCTTTGAATTTTCGAAAACATCACTATTAAAATTTCTATTATTATTTCAATGAATTCGTCATTTTTCTATTCGTCTATTGTTAATAAAAAAAAAAACGTACATATTAATAAAATGTCATTGTCTGTGTATGTTTATTTACTTTGCTAATTTCAGGTGATCCACGTTTTTAAAATTATATTAGTAAAATATTTATAAGTTGTATGTATGTTTGCGTATTTAAAATTTATGTATCCGATTACAAAATAAATACATAAATAGAAATAATTATAAAAATTAAAAACTATTTATTTTCTTCATTTCATTTGAAAACTGTTTTGGACATTAAATTTATTCCAAATGAACATCCTAGTTGTATCAGTCCAAGCCGATCTCGAATAAAGAGAGAATCAAATTAAGTCACAAACGTTATAACCCTGAATTTACAACATTTTTACGAATTGTAGCCGTCTTTGATATTCCAAAACATGTTGTCCGATAAACGCAACTGTTACCCTAATATGCATTAAGCATTTTGTTTGTAGTTTACAATATCATTTATAGATACACATATATTACATATACAAAAAAGCCACTTCTAATTGATTCAAATCGAAAATATCATGGTCTGTAACTTTGATCCTCAAAATTTCAAATCATATTCTAAGAAAATTTTTAAATAATATATTTCAGATAATATTTTCTTAATTTCTAATTAATTTTTTTTTCTCGTATACGATAAGAAATAATGTTATTAAAACAAATATTTATCTAAATTTTATTTAAAGTCTTATGATATAATAATTGTTTCCTAATCATAATTTGAATTGTGAACGCAAACTTTATTTAAGACTTGCCGCCTTTTCATTTAATAGCTGTCATAATTTTAATAATATTGTAAACAATTAAATTATATAATAATATTTTAATAAATTGTATGCTTGAGTAAATTTCATATTTTGTGAATTTGCCAAATCAAGATTTTAAAAATTATTTAATGCTCTACTGATTCAATTTTGAATAAGTACATTTAAAATTTTATAATTTATTAATACGTAACAGAATTTTACTGTAATAAATTGTAGTCAAATTAAAGCAATTATTTGATGAGCACAATAATTTTGTAAATAATTGTGCTCGTATTATCGCTCTGGGATAAGATTCGATTTATTTGATACCTTATATAACGTTTGTATAACGTTTGTTCGATTTATTTGATACCGATTTATTTGATAAAATAATATGAATATTGCATATAAACACATATAAATATGAACGAATGTACGATTAATGAAAACGGCAAGTCCAGAACTTTTAAAAGAAGTGTCTTGCACCTATATTCTTTAAATAATTTAAACAGAACTTAATTTCATTAATATTAAAACGGTACGGATGTCGCTGCAAAATTATTCTCAAAAAAAATAAAAATAAAAGAAATTATTTTAAGATTTTATTATTTCTGTCATATAACATTAATTTAATCCACAAAAATAGAGGTTAGAGGATGTCAAAATGTCAAAATCATATAAAAAAACAAATAATTCAAATAATTAATTTTTGGATATAACTTGTATATAAGAATTTTTCTTCATAAAATTTTAATAGACAAATTCATTTATAATTAATCCTTTCATTGCTCATTAAAAAATTATAAGTAAAATAGGAGGTACGTTAAGTACAAATTTTATTACTTACTTCAGATTACCATTATGGTTTCATAATCGATGCTATACGTAATTATAATTTTTTTTTTGATTTAATTTTCAAGGTTTTTCAAAAGTATATAGGAAAAAAAAAGTAAAAGAAAATCTTTTCTTGTCATGCAATACTGAATATTTTTCTTTACACTCCATTCTGCTTACCAAGACCAAATAATAACAAATAATAAAGCATAAATATTAAAATAAAATTAAATAAAATTAAAAAATCATGTCACAGAGTTGAACCATCACATAATTAAATCTATACATAAACTATAAACAAAAAGAAAAAACCAAATCAAAAAAAAACATTTTTTGTCATACAACCAACCGACAATGAAAAACTATGCAAATATCCCTTTGAAAAAAATGAATTTCATATAAAATTAGAATAAAAATAAAGAAAATAATTGAAAGTTTCCATAAAAGTTTATAAAATAATGAGAATCAACCTATCCTCCAATTTCCAATGACATTAATAGGCTTATTATGCATTGCGAATTTTGTTTTGCGAATTCAATGAAAAATGTGGCGAATGAAAATATCGTGTGACAAGAATGCGAATTTGTCAAAAGATGTGTAAAGAATTTCAGGGCGCTTAATGAAAAATTTGTCATTTATATACCACTGCGTAAACGCTAAAAAATACTGCCATTGCGTAAAAAATCCATTTGCCATGCATACGCAATACCAAATCGTCACCCCACTAATCGAATATACATAAGCTTATCGATTACAAAATTTTCGTTTAATAACTAATAAATTGAATCTCACTAATTAAAAAAAAAAAATAGAAAAAAAAATTTTAATTCACGAATTTTATTTTTTTATTTTGCAGGTAACGGAGTTGTCATACATTTACCAGGTTTATTCGATGAAATAGCTAAAAATGAAGCTAAAGGCCTTGCCAAATGGGAAAATCGTTTATTGATATCAGATCGTGCTCATTTAGTTTTTGATTTTCATCAACAAGTTGATGGACTTCAAGAAGCAGAAAAAGGCAAAAAATCATTAGGTACAACAAAAAAAGGTATCGGTCCAGCATATTCAAGTAAAGCTTCAAGAAATGGAATTCGTGTTGGAGAACTTTTGGGTGATTTTAATTTATTTGAAGAAAAGTATGAAATAATTTTATTTTTTTATTTGAAGAAAAATTGTATAGTTATGTATTGTTTTTTTTCCATGATATAGATTCAGGTCACTTGTTGCAAATTATAAGAGGCTATTTCCTGGTATCGAAATTGATGAAGAGGCGGAATTGCAAAGGTTTGTGTTAATTAAAAATTATGTATAATTTTTGCAAAGCTATGCTTAGCATACCTAATAATATAATATACTCGTATAATTTCATACACTAATATAATTAATTTTGTCCAACAGATACAAAGACTATGCTGAAAAATTACGTCCATTTGTTAAGGATACTATATGTTTCTTGCACACAGCATTACGACAGGACAAAACTGTACTTGTGGAAGGTGCAAATGCAGCTATGTTAGATATTGATTTTGGCACATATCCATATGTAACAAGCAGTAATTGCAGCATCGGTGGGGTTTTAACTGGTTTAGGATTGCCACCACAAGCTATTGGAGAGGTTATTGGTGTTGTTAAAGCTTATACTACACGCGTAGGCGATGGTCCATTCCCCACTGAACAACTAAATGTATGTATCAATAGCAATTCATAAAATTATTTTATTATTTTAAGCAATATAGTATTTTAAATTTTATAATAATACATAATAGCTTTGCCAAAAAAAACATCTAGTATAACAATTTGTAAATTAATATTAAACATTTTAGGAAATAGGTGATTTGCTTCAAACAAAAGGTGCTGAATTTGGTGTTACCACAAAAAGAAAACGGCGTTGCGGCTGGTTAGATCTTGCACTTTTAAAGTATACATCACTTGTAAATGGATACACATCGATCGCTTTAACAAAGTTGGACATTCTTGATACATTGAAAGAAATTAACATTGGTGTCGCGTGAGTAACAATATAATATAACAATATTTATGTACTATATACATTTGTACTCAAAATTATTTTAAATTATGTAATTATATTCACATAAAAATTATTTTTTTTTTAATTTCAGTTACAAATTGAATGGAAAAATTTTAGATCATTTTCCAGGTTCAATTTCTGACTTGGAAAAAATTGAAGTTGAATATGTAACATTACCTGGATGGGAATCAGTAACAGCTAAAACGAGAAAATTCAGTGATTTACCAAAGAATGCACAAGAGTATGTGAGGTTCATTGAAAATGAATTAGGTATACCGGTGAAATGGGTTGGTGTCGGTAAAGGACGCGAATCTATAGTTAATATTCATCAATAATATTTCTAAAATTAAAAATAATTACAGGATAACAATAATATTTTACATGTTAACTATAGAAGTAGCGTTTATTTTACTTATTTTGCAAAAGATTAAAATTATACATAATTATTATAGTATATATAAATACATGTATGTATAAAATTTTGAAATTGTAAAAAAAAAAGCTGACTTGCAAATAAAAAAATAAAACACAAAAAATAGGCGACGGCATAGTTTCAACAAACAATTGGGAAAGACTATAAATTTTTAAGCCCACCTTTTTCTGATATTTAATTCACAATTCTAAAAGATGAACCTAAAATTTTTGGATTGAATCTTTTAAAAAGCAATTTTTCATATTCAACTAAAAATAATAAATAAATAAATAATTTCCAAACGCTTATTAATGCCATTCAAATTCAAAATTTAAATGAAATTTCTTTTTGTTATATAATTTAATATGGCATTATATACAAAGTGCTGTAATTATTTTTAAGTTTTACAATTAGTTATTATTTAAAATAAAAAATCGATGCTAAATTGTGGTAATCATAAGTAATATATTTGTAAAATAATTAAACAATTTTACAGCAAATATATTAATAATATAATAATAATAAATATATAAATATTATATTGCATAAATAAAAAAATTTCTTTTATGTGATAACTTTAATGAAATGTTTTTTATTTTAAGTAAGATTTGTTTACCTACTTTTCAAAATCATGATTATATAAATATTTTAAAATGATAGCAAATTGTTTAAATTTTTATTCAAAGTAAAAAACAAATGATTTTAAGCTCAAAAAAATTTTAAATTAACTTTTTTGTTAAAACAAATCTTTAGAAATAAATTTCTATGTGCGACAGAAAAATTTAAATCAAGCATACATACATAGCTGCTACTAAAAATTTAATTAATAATATTAAAATTGGTGTGATGAAAATTTTTTATTTCCTAAATTAAATTGTTAATTGAAGTACTTAGAAAATAGAAACGTATAACATTAAAAATTGTAAAATTATCTTAATTTTTATTGTACTACGCTGGTTTTAAATATTAAAAATGAAGAATAAAAAACTTAAATAAATCTTAACAAAGTGAAATTTTATAAAATTTTAAAAAGAATGTTTTAAAATTATAACACTTTTAAAATAGAAATAGCTGTGGATGACTGATTAAAAATCGTATTTAAATTACAAACAGAACGTGCTGCGGTTAATTTTATTTTTTATATATTTTTAATAATTAATATTTGATAATACAACAACCACAACATAACAAAAGTATCATACGTTCAGGGTCTTACAATATTTTCAGCAAGTATTTAAAAAACAAGTTTATTTAAATTGAACACATAATTTATTAAATTCATAAAAGTTTTAAGTAACAATTATCAAGTGATCAGAATTATTAGTTAACTATTACCAACATAAACAAGAAGATGTAAACTCTTGTACAAAACTCCTTTAGTAAAGAAATTTAAAGAAAAAAAAAATTTTTAATGTGTACCTTTAAGAAGAGCCAAAAATTAAAAAATCTTCATTAGAATTCAGAAAAATCACACTAGGTTTTAAAAATCTTTTATGGGAGTTTACAAACTGGTTTGCATTGTTGTGAATATTGTAATTTACAATGTGAAACTGAAATATTTTTTTGCCTGTTAATCTAACCAATTTTGTTGTCTATCATAATTCAATGGTTGTCCATCAAGTTAAACAATTACAATGATTATTAGTTTCTTTATTCTTCAAAAATATTTTCATGAGTCTTTGATGCCTAAACTCCCAGAATTATAACTGTGCCCAATTATTTCGAACTATTTTTTAAAATTTGGAAAATATTTTTAGAATTTCTTACTAAATAGTTGTAGTAACATTTCCCATTATTAAACATACTTAAAAATTTTAAAATTAATTCTAATTTACGATGCAAATTTAAAATTTTTTGCTTTTTTTTCGTTTCCAATGCGTAATAAAAATTTAATAAAATGTACTTAATAAACATTGAAACTTAAAAATTTTATTGCGCACAAAAACAAAATGTTTTGAACTATAGAAAACATTTTTAGGCTATTTTTTTTATTGAAAGGGTGCTTAATAATTTTAACCTTTTTTTTTTAATCTTTGTATATTAAGCTGAAATTAAAAATAACTTTCTGCAAAACGGTTTTATGTTGTAGTTTTAAATTTAGGTACATTATATTATATAATTTTCTAGTTTAAGAATTTCAACTATTCATATTAATCATCTAATAGTTTCGATGATAAAATTAATAGTAAATAAAAATGTATTAATAAGAAAATTTAATAAAAATTAATATTGTGAACAATTATTGAATATTTTATTGAAATATTTGTCCAGTCTAAAATCTCATAAATTTATTAAAATTTCTTATCGTTAATTTTTTAGTTTTTTTTTTATAATTAGGTTTCATTTTTCAAAGTTTCTTCTAGACCGATCTTATCAATGAAAGCTTTCCAGTCTACGAATCGTCCTCGTTCAATAAAAGGTAATTTTGGGCAAATTTTACGCATAGGTTGTGGTGCAAAACTTGATGTTCTGTGTTCAGCTGTATTAATAAATGATAAGAAGTCACGAATTTCAATGTCACCTTCGGAATTCTTTTTGAGCACTTTTATTAATAGATTTGTAAGATCAATAGAAAATGGTAAACGACATCCAGCTATTGTTGCCCTTAATTTGGTTTCATTAAGGTATCCGACATTCTCTGGTTCAAGATGACAAATATGTTCTTTTACACGATTTAAATCATTCCAAAGGTCACGTTGAATTTCCCAATGTACAATTGATCTTATTAATTCCCTATCGCATTTATCTTCTGGTTTTTCAAAATTAAAAGCACGGCAAAGTGTAATTATTTCATGATCATTAATATGGTGTTGAAGTAATTCAATAAGTGCTTTTCTAAAAATATCTGAACGAATGTAACATTTATAACAGTCTTTGGATGTTGATACATCAACAACTTCTGGTAAATATTTTGCAACGAAATTTTTATAAGTTGGTCGTAAAGCTTCTCGAACTTTTGCCACTATAGTTTCAACATCAGCGAATGGGAACTAAAAAATTAGAAGATGAAAACAAGTAAAATTATTTTTTTATTAGATTTACAATTTACAACCCGAAATCAAAAATTCAAATTTTTATATAATACCTGATACGGGTGAGCCTCCATGTACATTAATGTATATTCATCAGCCGTAGCAAGATTGAATACATGATCATTAATTATTAATGTAGCACCAATATGAAAATGATATGGTTCATAGAACTTTGGTCTTTCAGACGAAAAAATATTTTGATCAGGTAATAATTGCTTTTTCCTTTTGCAAAATTCACCACCCAAAAATCCTGAATTTCTCATAGCAAGTTCATACACTTGTACAGTATCATCAATTAAGTGAAATGATACTATAAAAACTCTTTCATTATTTTCTTTTATATCCGAAATCATTTTTGCACCAAAACGTAAAATGAGTTTATCTAAATTTATAAATTTGTGTATATCTATTGGAGGAATTTTTGGCATTATAGACAAACAATTTCCTTCGGAATCTATAAAATCACCCCAACCGTTATATGGTGGAAGTTGTGTGTCTGAATTTTGGATACGTTTCTGCGACTGCATTGCTGGATTTGGAATTGGGGTAAAATTTTCCATACCAAACTAAAATATTGCATTATTTTTAATAAGTATTCTAAAATATTAAAAAAAACCATACTTTTTTTTTATAATAATCCTTAGTAAATTCATCACAATCCGTTAAAATTATATCCCGCCCAAATATACTAAGATGTGCTCCTATTTGCAAATCGCTGTCCTTATAGTAATTTATATTTTTATTGCCCGTTCTAAGAGGATCAGCGACAAAACGATTATTTAAAACATTTAATATAGTTGTTTGAGAATCGTCACCTGGCAAAGGCAAACCAGTCCATTCCTAAAAAAAAAAATTAAAAATTAAAACATCTTCTCAATATTATGTACATATATAATATCTACTATAATCGCAACAATACTGACATACCTTTCGAAGTTTTTGCCTTTTTAAAAATGTACCCGGTGCTTCTCGTCCTGAATTTTTCGGAAATTTTTCTTTAATTTCAATTGTATCATCTGCTAAATAGTATAGCACTTCCAAATTTCTTATTTCACCAAATTCAGATTTGTCATCCCAATAAGCATTGAATTTCAAAACTTTTCCATCAAATTTCAAAAATTGTGCAAGTGTGAAATGCTTATTTGACGGAACGTATAATTTTCTATCAGCAAATTTTCTAACTTCATATGTTGGATCCCTATAAATATTCAAGTATTACGTCTGTTTAATGAATATTTATTGTTTAAGTATGTATGTTGAAAAAGTACTACTAACACTGGAATTTGAACAGGATCTGGAACATTAATACCCATTCTATTTAAAAAATGTCTACTAAATAAATCACAATCAGTTATTTGATAAACACGATCATAAATTTTAATAGGTTTATTAACATTAATATCAAGCAAAGTTATGAATTCATGATGAGATGGTGGAGATTTTGGTACTCTTTGTCGACTTAATAAACATCCTTGTGGTATACCAGAATTTGGAACTTTTGGTTCAGATATTTCAATAGTATCATCTTCTAAATAATAATACAACTTTATTTTTCGAATTTGATATGCCGCCTTATAGACTTCCGTTAATGCTTCCTGAAAATAACCATAGAAACAAAGAACTTTTTTATCATAAGTTATCCAAGCTGGCATTTTTGGTCCAGATTTCGGTGCATATAACGATGGTAATTCACATGATTGTTCATTTCCATCTGAATTGAATCTTGTTACTGGCTCTCTATCTGATAACATACTTATTCCTTTATATCTGATGAATCTTTGGGTTTTAGGAAAATGATTTTTTCCCACCTTAAAACAACGAAAGATTTTGTAAAGAATTTTATAATTTATATGTTTTATTTACATCCAATATCATAGACCCAGGAAGCAATGGTACTCCAGGTATACGCATTTGAGCCATGTTTTTGTTTTTGTCTTCAATTTGAGTTTAATTTTTTTGTGTTCGAATTACGAAAGATATACGAGTATATACCGAAAATTTAAATAGAAAGGAAAGAGGATAAAAGATTAGATTTTTCTGTGAAGTCTTCTTGGGTTTGTGTATATGTATGTATTTCTGTTCCAGAGCAATCTGTACACACAAACTATTGATTTAATAAATATTGTTTTTTCCGGTTACTATGAGTATGTTATGACACAAACAAATTAAATAAAAAATAACAACAATTTTAAAATTTTGTTTCAAAAACAAAATGTTCTCATAAAATATTGTACTAATTGTACCTACTTTAATTTTAATTAAAAAAAAATAAATTTTGTTACTCAACAAGTTGACAAACATCAAATCCAAAATATCAACTTGTCAACTCACAAATTAAATTATAAAAAATTTCGAATATTTAAAATAATTTTTATTTAAGATTATTTAACATTATTTACATTAATTTTATTTAAAAAAAAAATATTCACAAATTTTATTTTAATTAAATTATGGTGATTCTGCATTCAAATTTAATTCCGGACTAGATATTGGTGTTAAAATATCAGGACTTTCTCCACGTTCTCTTTTTTCACGGCGTTCTCTTGCTCTTCGATTTTGAAACCAAATTTTTACTCTTGTATTAGTTAAATCTAATTGTAAAGCTAATTTATTAGCATCTTCGGAACTTAAATATGTTGATTGTTTATATGCATTTTCTAATGTATTTAACTGGGCTGGTGTAAATGGTACTCTAGGTAATCTTCCTGGTGTTCTTTTAATAGGTCCAGGCCGGAAAGGTCCTAATAAAATATGGAAAAACAAAAAATTTAATGAAAAATTTAACAAAATAAGTATAATTTTTAAATATTTGAAATTTTTATAAGGAATTTTATGAATTTCGTCTCTTTAATTTTGGGGAAAAAGAGATTTTAAAAAAAGTTTTTTTTTATAATTCAGGAGATATTTTTTTCAGGTTTTTTTTTGTTTTCTTTAATTATTCGGGAATTAGAATATGTACTTCGGTGTTGTATTTACAAAATGTCTCTAAATGTTTGATAGTATTATAGTGTTTAAATAATATTATTAAATAGATTTACATATAATTAAATTCGGCATTCACCGACAACTCTAAATTAAATCTTAAAAATCTTTTCACACATTCTTACTTACAAACCTGCAATTTTTACAAAGTGAATATTTATTTGGCATTTGCAGATTTGTAACATACTCGAGTCGAGAGTTTTTTCAATATCCAATATTACCGACCGTATTGTGTAAACAATAGGTAGGTTATGTGATGGCAACAAATTTTGCATATCGAGTTTTCGGTGGGAACGTACTTCTCCATAGTGGGGAAGTGTAAATAAACTATTTTTAGCAACCTGTCGGTCTGTCGGTCTGTCGGTCTGTCGGTCTGTCCGTCTGTCGGTCTGTGTGTGCACGCGTGTATCTCAAGTTCGGCTGAACCGATTTTGATGAAATTTTATATGTAAGTTTGTTTCCACCATGGCACGGATCGATCAACTTTTGGTATATATCAGGCCTCGGGAACTGCACTTTTTAGCGGGCCTGTTTTACATTTTTGAACATTTTGAAGAAAGTATTCAACCGATTTACTTGAAATTTTATATATAAGCTTTGCTCGATCATACGCAAAAATTCCTAACTTTTGGAAGAAATCAGACATCAGCAACTGGGCGTTTACTACGGGCCAAATATACATTTTTGTGTATATAAAGAGAAATAATCAACCGATTTCATTGAAATTTAATATATGAATTCCCCGTATTAAAATAATGAACATGTAAATTTTTTGGAAAGATCAGGCATCGGCAACTAGACGTTTACTACGGGCCAAACATACACTTTTGTGTATATAAAGAGAAATAATCAACCGATTTCATTGAAATTTAATATATGAATTCCTCATATTAAAGCAATGAACATATAACTTTTTTGGAAAGATCAGGACTCGAGAACTGATTTGCGGGCCGATTTTACATTTTTCACCATATCCACAGAATAAATTGATGGAATTTCTTGAAATTTGATATTTGAGTTCTGGTTGTTACCGAAACTAACTGGCGAGCATTTCAGGGAATTCGGGTAGCACAAAGCGAAACTCTACTAAGAGCCCAATTTACATTTTTCTAAGTATGTTAACTATAAGCTTACTAATGTCCTAAAAATTGGAAAGAAGTATTTGGCAGACATTTTTATAATATTCTGTAACACTTTCATTTAACTAGACAATACACAATGCGGTCGGTTATGTGCTGACCACATCAGATTTTTTTACTATTATGCTAGTCTTCAAGTTTACAATATTTTTGTACTAAAAATTTCTTTAGAACTTTAAGCGAAACTTTCATTTTCGAATATGCTATTTTTGCAGATTTTACAGTTTACATTTATCGTAAATTCTTTATTTTAAAAACAAATTTAGAATTAAGTTATTGAAAATCCCCAATAACATTTTCCAAAAATAAATAATATTGAATATGGTCTGACATAAAAAAATAATTTTTTTCCATTTCAAAATATTTTAAACGACAGACTGATAAAAACTAAATTTTACAAAATTATTAATGTTGAATAAACTAAAATTATTAGTTTTTCCTTTTCAACTATTATTTTACTCTCTTGCAAAAAAAATTTCCCTTCAAAACTTGTTTAAAATTTTTTATTAATTAAAAATATTAATTTTTTTTACTACCAGCAGTAGTGACAGTAATAATATAGCGACAGTAATGTAACACTGTTAGTGTCCGAAATAAAGAAAACGTTATTGAATAAATGCGCTTTATTTTCGGGGGCAATTGTTAAATTTCATTAAAATTATTAATAAAAAAAAAAAAATTTTTTTTTTTAACTCACTTGGTAATTTTGGTGGTCTATATCTTGTATATTGTAACCAATCAAATATTGGTGCTGTTCTTAACATTAAATTTGTACAAGTATCTGTTGTATCCGAATTAAAATCAATTTGTTGATTTTGATAATTAATATTATTTGTTGTAGAATTTTTATTGTATTCAAGTGCACATACACGTTCATAGAAATTTATAGCATTACTTATATTTGAATTATTTGTACCACAAAAATTTTCACCAGCCCGATTTAATATGTGGTCAATACTAAAATCACTAATTTTTACTAAATTATTTATTTTATTATTTTTAATTTCATTATTATTATTATTTAATTTAATATTATTGTTACTCTCATTATTATGATGAGAATGATTTGATGAATCCGAATGATTATTCATTTTGTTCAAATTTTTAAAAAACAACTAATTAAAAATTAAAAATTTTATCCTTATTTATATAGAGAGAAAAATTCGGAAAAAAAAATCGTCCATCTTTAAAAAAATCTTTTAGTTTAATAAACATAAAATATGTACAAGAAAATAAAATACAAGAAAAAAAAAGAGAAGAACAAAATGAACAAGTAAAAAAATACAATTTGAATTGTCCATCCCTTTTCAATGAGGATCATCCAAAAGGATCAAGTCAAGCAGATAATAAGAACAATATTTTTATACTTTTACTTTTCATTAAAACGATAATCGAATGGGCGTTACTCAAAATACTGTTAATCGTTTATTTGTTTCTTTATACAACCAAGATATTTTCAGCTACCGCGTATTCTTGTATATCTTGTATGTCCCTTAACATTTCCAAAAGAGATTTCTCTCTCATACGTATTTAAAAAAAATTTAAATGAAGAATAATTTTTTATACATATGTTCCTCGCTCAATCATTTGAATAAAAAAGGACTTCATTTTATATTTTGATTTAAAACGTGCATATACACAAATACATAAACCATAAGTGTAAGAAACTGAAGCGATTGAAGGAGAGAAGAAAAAAAACAGCTTTTGCGGTAAGTTTATACAAAAGAGAATTTTTTTGTTTTTACAATGCAGATAATTGTAATAATTGTAACAATAATATTGTTTATTTTGCCATATTTATTTGTTGTCTAAACATATTTTCCTATAATATAATAATCATTATTGTTCTAAACCCTCTTAACAATAAAAAAAAAAAAAAATTAAATATTAAGGGGTCGATTATGACTGTATAGTAAATTTTTTATATTTTTCATCTTCTACATTCTTTTGGGTTGAACATTTTTAAAAGTTTATTATAAAGTACAGTGTTTAGCCATTTTTTTGAGAAGTGAGTTCTTTATAAATATTCTCTATATAGAATATATTTAATCAAATCATTATGTATGTATATTAAATTATTTATTGACGTCTATTACACGCTCAGTGTTCGCGTCAGTTTTCAGTGATGTCACAAAGTATTTGTTGCTGCAAGAACGAATAACAAAACTGAAAAGCATTTATAAATTTTCTTAGTTCTTAAATTTTCATTCTAATAGTCTACTAATAGCATAATCACCTGTCATTTTTCAGATTGAAATGTTATACGTGTCAAATTGCATTTAATGTCATTAATATTAAATTGTATAACTAACAAATTATATTTAAAAATGTTTGTTTTTTTACCTATTTTAATTAATTTTAATTAATTTATTAATTTTCACAAAAATTAAATTCTATTAAAACTTTAGTTAGTTAGAGAGGGGAGTTGTAAACCATAACGCTATCAGCCAATAGAAGGTTCATGAGCATTACTCTACGACACATTTCTCTCCGGTAAAAATTAAGCAGACCATCCACGAGCGACGCAATCCATCAAGCCGACATCCTCCTTTAAAGCGTTGGCTGCTTCGCATGAGAACGGAGCACTCGCAGAAATCGTGTTGCACGTCGTCCACCAGAGATCACTCCTGCTCAATGCCACAACATTCCTCTTCGGCCATTTAAGTATTTATATTAATGTATTTAATTTGCTTAAATTAAAGTTCTATATTAACAGAAATAATAGCTACTCTTTGCAATATGGATCTTGAAGGGAAGCTGTATCCTTCGGGTATATAGGAACTAGTACATGACGTGCAATAAACTTTATAAGATGCTGCTTTTTTAATCTTAATAATTAATTGACATTAAAATTGAAAAATTTTAAGATTTCTATATTTGAAGTGTTTCGATATATTCAAAGACTCTTCTCGTTATCTTGAAATGAAAACTCATCAGTTCAATAATTTTGACAGTAATTTAATTTCTAAATGTGTCAATACATACAATAGTACTTTCACTTGCTGAAACAGTTAATTTCCATAATCATACTATAATATAGTAAGCAGTGCTCAATAAAATGGCAAAAAATGTTATTTTTATTGAAAAATAATTAAAAAAGAATATTATATAGTAAAAATGTATATATATACAAATAAAATAATATGATGATACATTTCAAGTATCAGATTTCTTATCAAAAGTGACGATCTGAAAACAAAATAAAATAAAATATAAATAAGGATATATTGTAGATATTCAGGATATTGTGTATTGTGCCTTCTAAATATTTATAACCTATAACAATAAAATCTTAAATACACTTACGTATGTATATGCATATACATACATATACAATTCAATAATGGTCGGTTTTTTGCGGAAGAACAACTTATTTTTTGGTTGAATTCACTTAAAAAGCCTACTATGCATTTACCGACCGACCGACTTACATAATTTAGCATTATGATTTTTCCATGCTTCTTCCTTTTTTTTGGTTTTTGTTATTTTATCTTGATCCTTAATGAGAATAAAATTGAAATTCACATGTATACATACTAATATATAGATGTACATGATACAAGAAATTGTTGCGATACAAAAGGTACTTGTATACTGTATATAGACTGGTTTACCTCATACTTCAATTAAATTAGTATTATTGATATGAGATTGAAAATTTTTGATAATAATTTCAAATAAATTTTTTTTTTTGTATAAGCGAAAAAAAAAAATGGGTAATCATGTAATAATGTTCAAAAAGTACTTCTTCAATTAAGATATATGTATAAATTATATATATGTATATATATATAGATGACAATTAATAAACAATTTTCTAATTTGTCCAATTGAAAAACTAAAATTGATTTCCAGTTGTGATAAAAAAGAATTTTCAATGATAAATAATTAAGTATTCTGACAATAAATAAATTTCAGATTTTCATTTAATTGGATAATAAAAATAAATTCCATGATATTTTTGAGAAATATTTTTCCTATATATTAACAGTCATTCTACGAATTTGAATATTAAAGATCGCGACAAGATAAATTTGGGAGACTAATGTCTGCATAACGAGCCCATAATTAACTTTGATAAGTTCATTAAAAAATTTTCCAAATTGACTATACTTCGTAATTACGATAATATTAAGCTTAAATAAGTTTCTCAAATTTAACTTCCTATTTTTGAAATCACGCACTTGATCAAAGCTGATTTTATTATATTAGAATAAATTAAGTTTTAGATTTTCCGAATAATAGGCAATTTTTTTTTTATTTTCAAAATTTTCAATTCAGTTTATAAAATTATTTTTATTGAACTTATTAAATTAAGGAAGACACAAGTGAATCAATTTGTCAACTATAGATTTTAAAGTTTCGAGTAAATTAACCTTCTTTCAAAGCAAAATAAAGTGTGACATAACACCTTTTTAAGACAAGCTCTATGTATCTCTTTAACTGAGTCGTTTTTTGGAAAACAGGTTTTTGCATATAAAAGATAAACATATATAAAATTTCTATTTATATGCAATAAATTCATTTTCGTAAAAATTCTAAATGACACCTGCATTCACTCGTGTGTTATTATGACAGAAAAATTCGAGTTGAAAATTTCGAAAATTATAATTTCAGAGCTACATACATATTTTCATTATACTGATAACTTACACGATATTGCATTAAAATTCAACAGTGCATCGTGACAACGTATAAGGATCTATTGAGCTCCCTCACTAAGAGTGCGGGGCATTAAAATTGTATAAGAAATACCCATCATATAGCTCAATGTTTTCCGAGATATGGAAAATTTTAAAAAAATTTATGAAATTAGTAATACTAAAATGTTCATTAACGGACAAGAAAGCATATTCTAGAGTTGTTTAAAAAGTAATTTTAAAATATGAAATTGATCAATGAAATATTAAGTTAAAAATACAGAGCTCTCCCATTCAAAATAATAATATGAAAAAAGAGTAATATAAGTGAATTCAAATTATGTTTTAGGCATCAATCTTTATTATTCTACACTTATTTGTAGTAAATTTTACAATTAGCTGTAGTAAGCATTCTTGACTTCAAATTTCCAGTGAAACTGTATTGCTACATTATTAAGCAATTACAATTGAAAACTGGATTGTGCATTAATAACGTATTACTGCAATTTTGAAGTTAGGCAGTTTCTCTCAGTATTACTATTTTCATTCTGTCTGAAGTTTGAGCTTTTGTTGCGAAAATTGTCTGCCGATTGTAAAAATTCATTTAAAAAACAAATTTATTTTAGTCTCCTAGATATTTCTAACAATAAATTATTCGATATATTCTAAATTTTTTTAAAATTGGATTTCAAAATTTCAGAAATTTTGTATTTTCTCACAAATCCTTTATAAGCACATATAGTTCTCAAAACAAAAATTTATTTCTTAATGAAAAATAATTAAAGACGACCGAATAATTTAAACCAAAAACAGTAGAAATATTTTCTTTTTTAAAAATTAAGAACAAAATAAGTAAAAAATTTTCCAAGAGGATTACAATTTTTTTTTTATTATTTAAAAAACTGAAAAATTCGCCGCAAATATAGAAATAATACAAGAAATCTTACGTGTGGCTCTTTGTTTTTGCGGAAGTTTATACCTTTGCCATCTAAACAAAACAAAAAAAAATTAGAATGCTGAAAAATATAAAGAGAAGGCGTTATTCTTATTGTATGCCTTTAAATACACACTATTTACTTTTTATTTCATCCGATATCCTCTTAAATTTAAAAAGAAGAAAATTTAATACGATCATTGGATTTATGTATTATGTGGTTGAAGCTAATCTCTTCATAGTCTCATGAGATCTCTTGTTATATGATTTTTTTTTTATTTTATTCTAATTATTTATTTTAATTTTATTTTTACTATACAGTAGCTTATTAAACACATAATATCATATTACATAATTGGTGTTCTATACTCTTAATATTAATAACAAAAAGGATAAATAAAAAATATTTTAATATTAATTTAAATAAAGAAAGAAAATAAAAATGCAGCGCCAAAGTATACCAAAGGATATCAGTTTTCCTTGCAGATTATATTTTCAAATTAACTTCTTAAATGAA